TATTCGTTTCTGTAAGAAAATAAAAAATACGTGTCTAATGATTTAAAATAATCTACCAGACGGACATTAAAATAAAAATTAGGCATCTACCCTATTACCCGAGACCTCTTACCCGGCAGTCTCGCTTGCGACCACTCAGCCAACGAGGCAGTCAAGTGAACGCAAATACTCCAATGAATATTAAAGCTCGTAACTATATACATATATATATCTCCAATATTATGTTATTATACATTAATGAAAGACTAACAACCTCAATTGCTTCAGGATACAACCTTCCCGAAAACGCCTGAAGCTGAATCATGGACCCGATATATGTACATAATAAATGTATAAAGCCTTCGGCGTAGGCAAACGTTCGTTATATTTTGAGATCGATTCTCGAGTTATACAAATTGTTCTTCGAATTTCGTTGTTTAAACGTGGGAGGGACATGTTTCGACACGAATGGGCCGGCTCGGCCGTGTATCACTCCAGTCGAAGCGTTGTGTTTCGTCGTGTGAGTTAAGTTACCGGAGGCCCAATAACCCCCATTCCACATAACATAACATTACATCACGCCTTTTATCCCCAAAAGGATAGGCAGAGGTGCACACAGAAGTAATACCCACTTTTCACTATTTATGTTATGAGTCCCATGTAATAGGGGGTGAGCCTATTGCCATATACCGGGTACATTTCCAGACTCCGTGCTAATACTGAGTGTTTTTTTAATACCCAGTAATACTTTGCCCGACCCGGGAATCGAACCCGAGACCCTTGCCCGGCAGTCGCTCTTGCGACCACTCGGCCAACGAGGCAGTCCCCCATGACAACCCATGGCAGCCCCATTCCCAATCTCCATAATCCCCGAATTCCCAACAAATCTCAAATTCCTAAACCCTAAAAGACCGGTAACACACTAGCAACGCCTATATTGTTCCGGGTGTCCATGGGCGACGCCGATTGCTTACCATCAGGTGATCAGTCTGCTCGTTTACCGGCTTATCCCATAAATAAATAAATAATTTGGGTTTGTTATAATGGAGTTTCAAGTTCAATTGCTAGGTTGATCAAAGTAAGAAAATTTCGACAGTTATCGATATTTAATTTGTTTTATTTTATTGTGTTTAAAATGCTAAACCTGTTTTCATCAATCTCTGTTATATGTTAAGGAACTCTTCTACTAGGACAGGTGTCTTTTAACGACACTTTTTTTAATACCGTTTCCAAATACTAATATTTTCTCCTGTGTCGTGGGTGGGTTTACAAACATATAATATGAAAACTCTCAGACCAGGAACAATAATTTGTGGATCACACAAATAAGAGTCGAACCAGGTACACGTTGCGCGGTAGCCGGTTGAGCAACAATAGGGTAGATGCCTAATTTTTTATTTTATGTCCGTCTAGTAGATTATTCTAAATTATTCGACACATATTTTTTTATTTTCTTACAGAAACGAATACTTTCGACGCTATATTGATTTGAAATGTCGCGTGACGTCACTTCTATGCACATTTTATACGTAGAAATGACATTTTAGTCCCCACTCCTAAACTTTGATTCGTTTTATCTAAGTATTGTTTTATTATACGACAAAATAAAAAAATACGTGTCTAATATTTTTTCATTATCTTACTTACGGACTATTTATATTTTTAATTTTCATACCCTGTCATCATCTCAACAGCGCCAACCGTGCAGCCAAATTTTTGACACTTAACAGTATTTCTATGTGATAGGGTAGGTTAGGTGCTCCCTTAAGACACAACACGTTCCAGGGACATAACAACTGTCTTGCATCCCGCATCGAAATAATTCAGAAGATATTAATAGAAGGGAAGAAAAAACAATAATTTCCAGTTCCCCTCTGTGACTTTTGGTGCAGGAGACAGAATGACTTAAGCCTAAAGGCACAAAAGACTCTGTAAAACTGGGAGAAGTCCAGTCGCCAAGCGCCACGGAATGGAAAATACCCAAAAATTAATTTAAACAAAATTGTACTGTTTTGAACAAAATATTCATAGGCGCACCCATTATCACATGGTACTCATAACAAAAATAATGAAAAATAGATGTTACTTATACAGTGGTATTAAGTGCCGTAATGTGCACCTCTGCCTATCCCTTCGGGAATAAAAGGCGTCATTTTATGTGCATATTACACAGTATTTATGTCTGACCTAAAGCCTTAGATTTTCAGTGAGACCTGCCTCTGTATAGGCTTTACACAACCTTTTCAGGCATTCTGTTTGTAGTTTGACCTGAAATACAGTTATTTATTTAGTAAAAGCCTTTCAGGCTCGCATTTCCGGTCCCGTTTTTCATGGTAGTGTTGCTGTAGCGAAGCTATTTGTATGATGTTATTGATTAGTCGCAGATTTGTTGCTTGAGTTAGACAAAGAGTAATTTTATTGACAATTTAATATGTTTGTTATTGGTGTTTAGACGTTATGTTATCCATTTCTTTAACATTTACTAAAATTAGAATTACCTGTGGTATTAAAAATGCCTCGTTGGTCGCAAGTGCGACTGCCGGGCAAGGGGTCTCGGGTTCGATTCCCGGGTCGGGCAAAGTATTACTGGGATTTTTCAAAAATCTCAGTGGTAGCACTGAGTCTGGAATTGTGCCCGGTATATGGCAATAGGCTCACAACCTATTACATGGGACTCATAACAGAAATAGTGAAAAATGGGTGTTACATTGTGCATTAAGTGCCGTAATGTGCACCTCTGCCTACCCCTTCGGGGATAAAAAGGCGTGATGTTATGTTATGATTAAAAATGCATTTGCATATATTTAGCTTCAATTTGTAGACCACACAAAGAATTGAATCGTGCAGGAATCCACGTTCATTATCACTGGAACATTAATGCTGTGTAAATTATTATGTTTTCGGCTTACTCTGTCACGTAATAATTTGACGAGGAACTCGACTAGTTTCAAGCCATGCTAGAGGCTCATATTCAGTAGCAGCGCGACAGTCGCCGCGTCGCGGGTCGCGAGTTGCTGCTCATGAATATGGGCCTCTAACATGGCTTGAAACTAGTCGAGTTCCTCGTCAAATTATTACGTGAGTAAGCTGAAAACATAATAATTCATTTAGTATGTCTCACGAAAGTTACAATACAATTAATGCTATGATGAACAAAATTTATTTATTCCACTTATAATAATTACAGACTCGTTTCTTATCATCACCAGCCTATAAGTGGCCACTGCTGACCAAAGGCCTCTTCTCACACGGAGAAGGTTTGAGCACTAATCACCACGCTAGCTCAATGTGGGTTGATGATTCAGGTTTACTCACGATGTTTTCCTTCACCATTTGTCAGTGGCGTCTAAATAATCTTAGAAAGTACATATTACTCGGGAAATCACATTGGTATTTGCCGTTGATAGGTTTCGAACCCGCACTCCACACCACTACGACATTCGCAAAAAAACGGTCACCCATCCACAGTTCTGCCTGACAAACCGACGCTTGACCTACTAATTTACAACCAGCCTACCTACAAACATAATATTCGCACTGAAAACTGTAACAACTTCATGAAACGCCTGAAAGCGAGCGTCATAAATCAATAAACAAGGTGGTTACACTATAATCTCTTGTCACGACATGTTACAGTTAAAAAACCACACCCTGTAGCAGTAATGTTTAATTTTCTAGCACCATGCCATTCTATGGTGGAGGACACCATCGCTAGTATTCTCGTGGGTGTATTTAAACTCAACTCAAGGAATTTTTTGTTTAATTTGAACTACGTTTAAAGAAATCTACTTCAACGCCCTCTTTTGAAAGTCGATTAATTAATATAAAAACGCAGTAGCTAATAGGCCAGCATTGGACTGTTGATGATGCTGAATTCTGTTTTACTACGACGTAGCTGACTACGGCGTAGTAGCTACGGCGTAGTCGATGACGTCATTTTCCATTTTGAGATGATTTTAAGTATATACGTGTGTGTTTACATTATATTGACAAGTATCGGTCCTTGAGAAATGTGCATGCAAAAATATACTCTATTTTTGTTAGTATATAGAGCGTAATAGCGGAGCTAGTTGATGTTTGTTTTAAACTAGCGGCCTGCTGTTCAAACGGGTGCTATTTCCCTTTACGTACCGATGTATTCATTACACATCAACAGCCTATAAGTGGCCACTGCTGACCAAACGTCTCTTCTCACTCGGAGTAGGTTTGAGAATTAATCACCACGATTGCTCAATGCGGGTTAGCAAATTTCAAACTTATCGTTAGAAATTATAAACTTAGGTTTCCTTCACCGTTTGTCAGTGGTGTCTACATAATCTTAGAAAGTACATATAACTCGGAAAAAGTCACATTGGGACTTGCTGTTGGTGAATGCCTCATGCATGAGAAGCGGGCGTCTTTAACCTCAGGTTTCCTCGCGCACGCAAGGCTTCCATGACCAATAGTCTTTAGTAGACTGTCAATACTACTGCCGATCAAGTTTTGATTTTTTTTTTAAAACGAACAATATGATTTTGACTTTCAAATTCTAATTAACATAGTAAGTAAAGTACTTGTGGGAGAGCAATGCTTCAGCACGAATGGGCCGGCTCGACCGGAATGATACCACCAACGAATTTTGTGTGTCGTAGCAAAATAAATGGTTTTTCTTTCTTTCTTTCTTTCTAACGAGTAGAAAACTATAGTGGAACAACACTTACGTTGGGTTTTGTCGTGTGGGTCAGGTTACCGGAGGCCCAATTACCGCCTCCCGTATCTCCCCAATCCCTGAATTCCCAACAATCTTCTAGGCCGGCAAAGCACTTTAACACCTCTGGTGTTTCGTGTGTCCATGGGCGACGCTGATTACTTACCATCTGGTGATCCGTCTGCTCGTTTACCGGCTTATTCTTTACTAACCACCAAAAATATGTGACTAACGACTTACCTACAATTATCAAAAAAAGCCACAATTCCGTCAAAATAATTTATATTTAAAATTATCTTTGAATCGTTCGTATTAACACAAAACCACTATTATAGAAATTTACATACAGAGTGTACCTAAACGGAATGCTCCCGACAAACGCAGACAGGTGATGGTAAAAAACAAGTTCTATTTTCATAATAATAAGGAATAAAATGTTTCTTTTATGTACCTAACAACAGTAGTTGTAATCAACTGCTCAATGCTGATGTTACATCAATAACACGAAAACAAATACGATTAATAGTGTAAAAACATTTTTTTTTTTTTTGGTCAGCGTTCCGGGAGTTTTCCATTTACACCCTGTATTATATATATGTATCTACTTACCCGAATTTGGCCTTCATTCCATTTAAAACGTTATGCCAAAAGCCATAAAGTTGGGTATCGATTAGAGTTTGAGTGAATTAGGTTAATTTCATGTGCTGCAGTTATACTTAAGAAGAATCTACAAATAGTTTTAATAAAAACTTTTCGTGGCGCTTTATTGATGGCAACACTGTATCTAGATAATATATGGGGACTTTTCTTTAAAAGAAATATATTTGATTCACATATTTATGTTGAAAATTTTGAGTACCATCATTATAGACACAATTAAAGAACAATAGGTTGCGGTCACCGGTGTCGTCGCGATATTTGACAGTTTAAATTATAAAAAAAACATCGGATCTCCAAAAGGCTGAGAAACCTCTAGTGTTTCGTGTGTCCATGGGCGGCACCGGCGGCACCGATTACTTACCATCAGGTGATCCGTCTACTCGTTTCAAAGTCAAAGCATTTATTTCAATTAAACCACAATTTGGTACTTTTGAAACGTCAACAAATACAAAATAAATAACAGTCTGTCAGTCAGTAAAGCTAGGTGCTCGTTCCAAAGCGTAGATTCGAATGGAGAAGTACGCTTTTTTTATTATCAGAGTTTAAAAAATATATAATCATATTAATCCCCATATAATATCTAAATAGTGTTATAATAATCAAATACAAAACGAATTTTTTAAAAAAAAATAATAATTATAATTTTTCACAGAACTATCATAGTTTAGAAGTAAATATTTAGACACAAAAAGAAACCAGAGATAATGCTTTCATCATAAAAACGAAGTATGTGACAACAGCTCCAAACGAAGAAACCAGTAGTTTTACATTAAAAAACAAAAAAAAAACACCGCTCTTATAAAACGAAAAAAAAAGAACAAAAACTAAAAAGTGCTCGTGAGTGGAAAAACAATGGATTTTTAAGTCGAAAAAAGTCGTGTGATTGAATCGGGTTTTTTCAAAAAGCGACAGTTAATTTCAAAATGCTTACAATGTCTACTTTAATGATGCCAGCTGCCACTATGACTACGATGACTAACGCTGGGCCTATCCCGGTCGCGGCTGCTACTAAACTAGAGCCCAAGTTGCTCCAACTGCCCCACCCTGCACTGGTTCCTCAGATGCCTCAACAACAGCCACAGCCCCATCATCACCAGCACCCACATAGCAACAATAAAGTCGGTGAGTAATTTTTTTACAATCTCTCTTTTTGGTTATGTTGTACAGTGTTTGAATATATTTTTTTTGTAGGTGCAATCTGTGTACAGTTTTTTGGCTGTGTTGTACTTTTTTTTTAAAATTTTTTGTGTCGTAGGATACGGAATCACTACCGTTTTTTTTCCGTAATTATCATGTGTTCCTATTGCAATTAGATCTTTTTTTTCAGAAAGGCTTCCGCGTAGCTGTCCCAATACCCATTCCATTTTTTTTTTTGGACATACACAATAATAATATCTGGTTATTACTGAGTTTTTTTTTTTTCTGTTTTAGATCCCCGAAGAGGTAGTCAGAGCACATTACGGCACTTAATGCCACTGTACAATGTACACACACTTTCACTATTTATCTTATGAGTCCCATGTAATAGGGGGTGAGCCTATTGCCGGGCGCACACAATTTTTAACTACTATTAATGGCCTGAATAGGGATGATGACATGGTATTCAAATTAAAATTTTTTTTAGTAAGTCAGTTAGATAATGAAAAAATATTAGACACGTATTTTTTTTATTTTGTCATATAAGAAAACAATACAATTAGATAAAACGAATCAAAGTTTAGGAGTGGGTGGTAGCTATGGCATTTTAGGTTATAAATCTTACTCAAAGGTGACGTCACGCAACATTTCAAATCAATATATCTTCGAAACTATTGGTTTCTGTAAAAAAATAAAAAATATAATCTACCAGACGGACATTGAAATAAAAATTAGTCATATGCATAATCCTAACCTATTATACATATAATCTAACAATGTGAAGGAGACAGGATTTTATTTAATGAATCCTTTAGTATCTGTTATCAATACAAAGATGTCAATAACAGAAACGTTTTATATTTTCTATACATCTAGTACAACATGGCCAAAAATATAGATTATTTCTATAGTCAGAATTTTAATTAGATTCCAGATTTGACAATAGCTACTGTCATTTTATAAAATAATGATACCACATATAATAGAGTAGTGATGAACACAAAAATCGATAAACAATCAGTGTGTGTGTTTTATAATAAATGTTACAGAAAGTGACAGGATAGCGATAGCGATGACGGCGACAATTTATAAAATAACTTATTACCATAATACATCTATCTGTTTTATTTGTCATGTTCCTTCATGATTACATTTTTTTATTTATTTCACACACAATTATAAAAGAAAAGTCTCAGACCGTTAATTAATCGTCAAAACTAAATCATCAGTCAGAAATATTTAATTTCCTGATATACTTAGTTTCCGAAAGTAAAATTATAAATGAGAAGAATCGATCCAGTAATATTGCATTTCCATATCGAATAATTTCGCAACGTCACTATTTAGTACTTGTCATAACGTTGCAACACTGAAATTGTCAAATCTGGTTTCGAATTAAAATTCCGAGTATAGTACTCAGTAAAATAAATGTTATTGTGTGTATGGTAATAACGTAAACGTATGTTTTTCAAAAAACTCGCATGAAATCGATACACGCAAATGTTTTTTAAAACATAATATTCAATACTTGTTTATGCAAGTTTTGAGACGTAACTTGCATGCAAAATTATGTAAAACACTGGTATATATATATAAGTATGTGTGTTTACATTGTGTCCCTGAAGTGGATGATCAAATGGCACCAGGTGGTCGACAAGGTCCCAACAGTTATCGGAAAAATACAAAATAAATCCTAGGATTTATTTTATATTCCTAGGATTTATTTTATATTCGGACTAGTCCGATAGTTTTTAAATTACAATGACTTATTTGTTATCTACGAAAAAGTACACCCTTTTTTTTGAGGTCGGAAAATCATCCAACTGACTAAAAACCACCCCGTTCGTACTCCTGCACTTTGAGCCGGAGCCGGCAACCCGTTAAGTCTTCCGCAGCTCCGTATCGGCATCAGCCCTGTTGGGCCCCATCTATGGTGGTCTGATGGCTCCTTGAGGCACGCGCGGAACGCGACGCGCCGTACGCTCGGGCCTGGTTCTGGTCGGGCGGCGAGTCACACGAAAAAGTACATCCTGTGCCAGTCTTTTGACTCTTGTTGCTACAATTCTTTACTTTTTCATCTGTATTTTTGTTTACGTTATCCTAAAAAGTGCACAGCACCGTAGGTGCGGGTCTGCGGACGGTGAGCAAGAGTAGCTCGCCGCCCGACCAGAACCAGACCCGTGCGTACGGCGCGTTGCGTTCCGCGCGCGCCACAAAGACCCATCAGACTACCATGAATGGGGCCCAGTAGGGCTCCCGATACGGAGACGCGGAAGGCCTAACGGGTTGCCGGGGCTCCAGCTCAAAGTGCAGGAGTACGAACGGGGTGGTTTTTAGTCAGTAAGAGTCTGACACTCACCAACCCAAGGCGGGAGAATTCATTGGATGATTTGAAAAAAAAGTCAAATTTAAAATTTGGAATTTTTATAATATTTGTCTGATAACTGTTGGAACCTTCCCGATCACGTGGTGACATTATATCGTCGATGTCAGGACACCCTATGTATAAGTATATGTGTTTAATTGTGATCTATTTTAGTAAGCCTAATTTTACCAAAATAATCTCCATTTTGAAGGCTTTGACTGCCAATGGAAAGCTTGAAGGCAAATTCTCTGCAAACGTCAGTCGATGGTGCCATGACGTTTAACGTGTTAAAAGTAATTAATTATTGAAATTGGTGGCGAAAAGTGGATGTCACTAGGCATAGGTAGGTATATATCGACCTATTTCTGCAGAGATTGAAAGGCATGTAATGCGACTTGCTGTAATGCAGTATGTACACCAACGCTTATATATGGTAGTGAATCATGGGTGTGGCAGAAGAAGCATGAAAGCAGGATTAATGCGGTGGAAATGAGAGCCCTGAGAAGTATGTGTGGACAAGAATTTGAGTGATCGAGTGAAAAATAGTGTTATTAGAGAAAGGTGTGGATAGAAAGATGATGTAGTGACAAGGATTGAAAAGGGAATGTTACGCTGGTTTGGACATGTAGAAAGGATGGATGAAAGTAGAGTAACGAAAGAAGTATACTGAGCGGATATGAATGGAGCCGTCGGTAGAGGGCGCCCTAAACGGACATATAGTGACCAGATTGGCGATATATTAAAGAAGGGCCAAATTAAAAGTACCCTTAACCGACGAGCATGCATGAAAAGATTGATGACTGTTATTGAAGCGAAAGAGGTATATAAAATCGTAGTAATTGGCGTTCCTTAGTCTCTGCCTACCTCCATGGGAGACAGGCGTGAAGTTATGTATGTATGTATGTATGAAAGGCATGTCATAATGATAAACTTACATATTATATACAACATACATATTATAGAGTTTATTAATTGTTTCGATTATATATTTTTTTCAAAACTTTTTTAAATTGTATAACAGAAAAACCTAGTATAATTTTTTTTAACTGCCTCGTTGACCATGTGGTCGAAAGTGCGACTGCCGGGCAAGGGGTGTCAAGTTCGACTCCCTGTTCGGGCAAAATATTACAGGATTTCAAAAAAAAATCTCAGTAGTAGCACGGAGCCTAGGAATTGTACCCGGTACATGGCAATAGGCTCACCCCCTATTACATGGGACTCATAATATTAATAGTGAAAAGTGGGTGTTACATTGTCCACTGGCATTAAGTGCCGTAATGTGCACCTCTGCCTACCCCTTGGGGGATAAAAGTCGTGATGTTATGTTATAATTGTTGTTAACTGCACGTTTGGTGCAGTGGCTGGACAACCGGCTGCCGCGCAACGTGACGCGGGTTCGATTCCCGCACGAAACAACTCTTTGTGTAATCCACAGAATTGTTGTTCTGGGTCTGAATATCATGTATATGTAAACATGTATGTTTTGTAAACGCACTCGCGACACGGGAGAAAACCTTAGAAGATAAAAAATAATCAAAACTCTATATATAAAAGAAAGTCGTGTTAGTTACACTATTTATAACTCAAGAACGGCTACATCGACTTTGATGAAAACTGGCAGGGAGGTAGATTAGAACCAGAAGACAGACATAGAATACTTTTTACCCAATACTTTTTTTTACTTTTTACCGAAAATCAAGAATGGGAATGGGAAATATCGGGATTGCGCGTACGAAGTCGCGGGCAGAAGCTAATTTTTTATAAAACTAAACTGCTTGCCTCTAAACTTAAAATTAGTTTATCTTGGTCAAATTGGGCTTACAGTATTTAATAATGTGTCGTATTCTAGTGTAATGAGATTGTTGTCGTATTTAAACCCTGTGCTATCCCACTGTTGGGCTAAACACCCATTCCTTTTCAGCATTCTTTAAAATCTACATCAATTGAAACTTGAAGTAATATTTTCTACGAATCTAGCAACTTCTGCACAGTTTCACTCGCTCTGCTCGGCGTTTATTGGTTTTAGCGTGATGTATCATAGCCTATAGCCATCCTCGATATATGGACTATCGAACACAAAAAGAATTTTACAAATCGGACCTGTAGTTTCTGAGATTAGCGCGTTCAAAGAAACAATCAAACGAACTGCAGCTTTATATAATAGTACACCAAAACAAATAAAAATACGAAAATTCCCCAGCTTACTCAAACCCAAAGCTAGAATAAGGTCAAAAAATATAACATTAATCCATGTCGAGTCGAAATAAAAACAAATATACTACACCAGGCTCTCTGCCTACCCCAGAAAAGTAATGGGGGTGATAATACGGGCATATTATACTTAATGGACGGGACACGAGAGTTATAGTCTACTTAAGGACCTTTGCAGACGTGAGACTCTGAGACTTTAGTGAGCTGATTAGAGACTTTTGTTTGCTGATGCGAGACTGGTCGGAAATCAATTTGAGATTGTGATTGTTTAGCAACGAGTGTTCGATTTGATTTTGGGGTCGTATAAAATATCATTTGGTTGATTTTATCTAAGTAATGGTTTATAAAAGCAATTTTGATTGATACATAGTGCCCATTTCCGACCGGCTTACCTGTTGGAAACTGAAGA